GTTTAAGACCTTAAGGAAATGCCTCAAATTATAATAGGATCCCTAATATGGTTGAAGATATATCCCTTAATTAAGGAATATACCTTGAATTTATAATAGGATCCCTAATATGGTTTAAGATATATTCCTTGATTAAGGGGTTTTGGAGGCTCTGGGTACCCCGGTGAATCCAGACTTGTCGCAGATTTTAGTGTCCCGACCCTAAACCCTAAACCCTAAACTCTAGACCCAAAACCCAAAACCCTAAACCCTAAACCCTAAACCCTAAACCCCTAAACCCTAAACCCCGAAACCCTAAACCGTAAGTCCTATCAAGCAGGCGCTCCAGCGGCTGGCCGACCGAGCGCAGGCCGGCGACATCGAGGAGCCGCCCGGGCCCCTGAAAGAGCACCGCAAGCGCCGAGTCAGACATTTAGGGCTTTAGGGTTTAGGGTATTGGGGTTAAGGGGTTCAGGGGTTTAGGGGTCCTAAACTAAACCCTAAACCCTAAACCCTAAACCCTAAACCCTAAACCCTAAACCCTAAACCCAGGATTTGGGGTGTGGGGTTTAGGTTCAAAGCTCCATGGACCTAAGGTCCCAGAACGACGGCGCTGTCGCCTCCGACGTGCCGCAGCCTCGGCGCAGGATCGAAACGTCGGGTCTCGAGGCTTTCTTCGCTTTTCTGGGTTTAGGGTTTTTTAGGGTGTAGGGTTCAGGGTTTCGGGTTTAGTCTAGAACCCCGAATCAGAAAAAAAAATTGGAGACTGTTGAAACCTAAACCCTAAACCCCAAACCCTAGATTTTCTCCCAGGCCCGACATTCCTCCGGGCGAGCTGCCGCTCTCTACGCAGATCGCCTTCGGTCCCGCCCGGGGCTCGGAAGTGACAACCCCAGAGACTCCAAAACCCTTTAATTAAGGACTGTACTTCAAATCATATCAGGGATCCTATTATGATTCAACTTATAATCCTTTAATTCTCTGATAGATCCCTTTAAGGAACCCTTGAAGGTATATTCCTTAACTTAGAAGGAACCCTTAAACGATCCCTTTAAAGGAACCCTAAACTCTTAACCCTAAAGATCCCTTAAAACCTTATAGACGCCTTTCGAGGAATTCTTCAAGGACCCATGTAAAGGAACCCTAAATCCCAAACCCTTCAAGGACCCCTTGAAAGGAGCCCTCAGCGCAAAGCCCAAACCGCTGAACCCAACACCCTTACAGGACCTTTCGAAAGGAACCCTTAAAGCACCGACTCAAAGATCCCTTATATAGTAGCCTTGCAGACCCCTTTAAAGGAACCCTTAAACGACCCTTCCCAAGGAACCCTAAACCCTAAACCCAAAACCCAAAATCCAAAACCCTAAACCTAAACCCAAAACCCAAAACCCTAAACCCAAAACCCTAAACCCAAAACCCAAAACCCTAAACCCTAAATCCTCTAAAGGACCCGTTTTCAGGGATCCTCCTGAGCTTCCAAAACCCCTTAATTAAGGAATATACCTTAAACCATAGTATGGATCCTATTGTAATTTTAGGTATTTATTCCTGGATTAAGGGATATTGGAGTCTCTGAACCCTAAACCCTAAACCCTAAACCCTAAACCCTAAATCCTTTAAAGGACCCGTTTAAAGGGATCTTCCCGAGCTTCCAACGAACTTTATCGCTCCCAGGGCTCTTTGGAGGACCGCGCGGTCGCAGAGGCCGTCCGTCCTCAATATGGGGGTTTCCGAAAATTAGGGTACCTTATTTTGGGGTCCCTATAATAGGGATCCTATTATTTAGGGTACTATATTAGAGTCCCCTATTTTCGGAAACCCCCATATAGTATGGCACTCTTATAAAAGGGACCCCTAAAAGGGACCCTAATTCAGAGAGCTGCTAATCTGCAGTCCGCAGGGTTCAGGGTTTGGGGTTTGGGTTTTAGAGCCTAGGGTTTAGGGTTTAGGGTTTCGGGTTTAGGGTTTGGGGTTTGGGTTTTAGAGCTTAGGGTTTAGAGCTTAGGGTTTAGTGTTTAGGGTTTAGAGTTTAGGGTTTGGTGTTTAGAGTTTAGAGTT